TTTATCATGGTCTGAATAATAGGTAGCTCAATTTACTTAACATTCTGAGATATTTAAGAATCTATATGGAGAATTTACAGAATCCATGTCTGCCAGAGGGAAGTGAGAGGTGTTGACTCTCTCTACCATTTCTATCAATCAAATCTATTACTTTGAGTGCATCCAAAAGTCAACGTTGTATTTCTGTGGGAAAATTCTAGCAGAAAACTGAGGTGGCTTGAAGCCTGTATCTTATATGTATTTTGCTTTGCTATGTATCGTAGATACTGAAAATTTTAAGACTTATATCAACCTTTCATTTAGCAAGTCTAGCCGCACCATTTTTCCTACAAGTGGTCACCCGTGACTCTGTGTCATATTTTGGTAATTCTCACAATGTTTCAAACATTTTCATTATGTTAAGACTTAATAGACTACAGTATTATGAATAAGGAAGCCTGTAAAAGATGCATCAGATGGATGCACCTGAGTTATGGTGTTGGAGAGCAATATTGTGTTGGAAGTACTGCCAGAGTGCTTCTTAGAAACAAGAATGGCAAGACTTTATTTCACGTGCTTTGGACATGCTCTCAGGAGATGCCAGTCCCTGGAGAAGGGCATCAAGCTTGGTGAAGTGGAGGATCAGCAAAAAAAAAAACCAAGAGGAAGATCCCCACAGAGATGGACTGGCACAGTGGCAGTAGCAATGAACTCAAGAATACCAACAATTGTGAGGATGGTACAGGACCAGGCAGTGTTTCATTCTGTTGTGCACAGGGTTGTTATCAGTTGGAAGCAACTCAATGGCACTTAACTATAACAACATGGTGTAGACATGAGCTTTATATACACTAAGAAGCAAACAAACAGAAATCGTGTGACTTGCTTTACTGTGTTGGTCTGGAACTGAACCCACAATATTTCTGAGGTATGCCTGTATGTTGTGTGAACCTGAGGTTTTCCACATATGAGAGAGCTTCTAAGAGTTTGTGAGCAATCCAGGAACAGAGGACCCTAGGGCCACCAAGGGAAAAGAGCACAAGCAGAATGTGGGACCCTATCCAGAGAAGCAGCGACACCAGAGATGGAGGCAGAGATGGGGACATGGAGAGAGGGAGCAGCTGAGGACTCTAGACTCATGGAAAGATAAAGGCTGTGTGCTGGTGGCCAGGAGGCAGGCTTACAGAGAGTGTCCTTTGGTTGTTTAAATGATTATATATTCCTGAGTGTTTTTGTGTACATTTAAAAAAACAAACAAATGAAAAACAGAAGGACTAGAAGCAAATACTATTGAATGATGATGCATGGAGGGGATTGTAATCACTGCAATGAAATGAAATACAACAGGATTAGTTTAAAACCGATATTCTCCCATGTAAAGTATCACTCAATTCACAATAAAAACTTTGAAAGAAAAAGTTTGAGAGGACAATAGAATGAAAAGATAATGGAATTTAATTTTTCCATGAACTTTTTGAAGTTCCCTCATATATGGTTTCCTTAAAGTCAATCTCCCCATAAGATGAGGAGTAGGCAGGGTTTAGACAGGGGTGGAGGCTCATCCCTGACAACTGGTCTCTAGATACACACCACTCATTCAATCAGGATTTTGTGTCCCTTGAGCGTCTAACATTCAGCAGGTTCTCAGTCAGGACTGGCTTCATGGTCTGCTAGCATCATCTTGAAATTCAGAAGTTTTCAATTGTAGCTCCTCCACTTCTGCAGATAGTCTGCTCTCAAACCCATGGTTTCCCCTCTGGTCCTCCCCCACCAGACCCCAGGAGCACACCATGTCTGGGGCTCCCAGATGTCCTCCTTCTCCCTTTCTCAGGGGGTCTGCAGGCTCTAAGGGGTTCCAGGATCCCAGGCCACTGACAGAGCATGAGGGAACACAGGCAGCATCTCCGGCTTGCCGCTTCACATCCTGCAGAATAAATTAATACCCGGCTCTACCAATTCATCAAAGTCAACGTTTTTAAAAATGAGTTTCATTAAATCAAGAGGCTCTTGGGTTTTCTCAGATTAGATAGTGATCAAAGCTGTTCTGAATATTGGATTTCTCTAGGCAGTTCAGCTGGCTCTCTCTGTCCAGTTCCCTTCCTCTGATAGTCTCCAATTCTTGATTCTCTTAAAAGGGAGGGCAAAAAGA